TAGTCGAGGCGAGACTGATCGTTCTTCGCTGTTTACCCTAACTGAAATGTGGGAAGTTTAATCCGAGTAATATAGGAACACGATATTAATTCTGGAGACAAGATTTCCCTTAGGAGGTCAACAGTCTTTTTGCAGAACAATCATGACTATTCGCCATCAATCATTTTAACGAAATCATTCTTATTGCAATATTGCTACAGTAAAAATGTAAACTTCTCGAATTTTTATATTCTAGTTGCTTGCAACCCATTTGCTTTTTGTCACTCATTGTTTATGCTGTTCATTAGGTTTTTAAAGATTCTTAACAAGAAAGAAAAACAACTGAATTCACTTATTCGAGATTGTTTGCGATTTGTAAAAGGACTTACAAACATATATTTACGTGTTCTGCTTGAGCATTTACTACACATTTTCTGAAGCTCACAAGAGTGTTTGAGAATCAATCCAAGCAAGTGACAATTCCGACAGGTCAAAGAGTTGGTGCATAATCCGAATACTGGGATTTAGAGAACGTTGTAACAACAATACGTGGAACATTACATTTCACAAATTTTACGGACTGCATGCTAGATTAGCAAAAGGTTTGTTCGAGCAGAGATGTATAATAGATCAATGAAAAGGACAAGTTAACAATACCATTGCTCTCTTTATGCTAGCAAAAAAGGAGTAACTAATAGTAAGTACAAACTTCAAACTTCATTGTGTGTCTATAGATTTTATTATCTCTCTTTTTGTTCTCAGACTGCTTAATGATGTATCCGGTAATAGTCTTGTCCATGTCTCGTTCGTTATTAGTAAGTATGCCTGATGCTACTAAAATTACGTCTCATCTAAAAATAATGAAGTAAAATTTAATCTGCTATCATGCAGTTACTATCTCTTCTTCCTTCTTCCCTGAATCAAAATCTCTAAATTTTTACTCAGCTTTGGCCAATCACTAAGGTTCAATGATGGGTTCAAAATTGGTAATTTTTCTCAGTATATATTATCAGTTGTTTATACTCCAACTCATAATTTCCAAACGTAGATAGCAAAACACAATGACTATCTTACTCTGCCAATAACCATGAAGTAAATATTTGAACACTTTGATTTTCTGAGGTTTTGTAAAGATCAGAAACAAGAATTTTTATTCTATTTGTTGAAACGAATGCTTTCCTTCAAGATATAACTTCACAGTAACGGACCAATTTCGCCAATCTCACCGACATTTTCAGCGAAAACTCATAAATACGATGTAAACTTTCTCAATTATTTCTATAAAAACTACAGCAGATACAATAACACTGATAGATAGAGCAATTATTTACAAAACACTCTTTTTCCATATAGTCCGCATCATTGGGTATACATTTTCGTGGCGTTCTTCATTTCGGGAGTCCACTCCTGTACATGGTTGCCAGGAACGTAATTTGTCACATACTGCCATCAAAATCATTAGATGTCAGTGTTGCGAATATCGAGATATGTCACTGAATTCTTCCTTCATGTGAAAAAAAAAGCGCCCATTGACATTGATCGACTCTTGATCAATGTTATGGTGACCAAGCAATGGATGTGATCACGATTAAGTGGTAGATAATGTGATTGGAACAACAAATTTTGTTGCCACGAGTTGAAATCATTTTAATGTGAATTTTGAGGTACCCGGTTGTTATGTTAGGAACCTAAGTCTTCGTGTCGGGTTTTCATCGATGAACTATTTTAGCCAAACCCGAAAGTGTCACTGCTAACGTAATAAAATCTAAATACGTAGATTTGTTAGTGTAAAAATGAGCATTTAAATACTACAAACCATATTTTTCTTCCTAAAGAAATATGAATAAACATAATGGAATCTTAATAAAATTAATCGTGTGTGTGTGAGAGAAAGAGAGAGAGAGAAAGAGAGAGAGAGGTATCTTAAAAAGTTTTCGGCTATATAGTCATTTCCCAAAATCAATATTTCAATGACCTTATATCAGAATACTGGTTCAGGCCGAGAACTCTTCAGCACCCCTGAATATCATGTCTTTTTAGCTGTCTTTATCTCTAAAAGCTGAGTTAATTTGACATAAACATTCGCAAAATGTATCATCCTTGGTTGTTGATGAAATATTGATCATGCACAGCTGTAGTTTTTAGAATTATTTTCCTCCACAAAGCTTTCAAATCATGTGTGTGTGTGTGTGTGTGTGTGTGTGTGTGTGTGTGTGTGTGTGTGTGTGTGTGTGTGTGTTCGTGCGCGCGTGTGTACTTAATTAAAAATTAGACACCATATTTTTTATCATTTTTAAATCGAATTTTATTCTCAGTCAAAATAGGAGCTCCCACCCAAAACAATTGAAGTCACTCTATTGAAAACAACCTATGGCTACAATCGAGGCAACAGTGCCATCAATAAATGTATCACTTGATACTTAATGCTAACTCAATTTCAAACATTCCAAGTTCAAGTATCAGTCGTAACGCAATGCGATTTGTAAAAATACGCACGAATTGTCAACTGATCGCGTATATGTTCATGGTGACGTCACTTCCGTTTCTATCTGACACCCAGAAATTTACATAAGGATTGTAGTTCCCAATAATGACGACGTATTTTCACATTACCAAGAATCATTAAATAATAAGATTAACTGAAGTAAAAATTTAAATATATTAAAAAAAAACAAAAAAAACCAAAAACCGAATCGTTGATTGAATGATTAGACAGTTAAAAAAAGAAATCCCATGTGATTCGTGGGAGGTAAATTTTAAAAATGTTATCAGCTGCAACAAGAAAGATACCACGAAAACTGCGTCTGCTAATTTTTAAACGATGAAGCAGACGCAGGACAGTTCGTCTGCTTCTTCGAATTTTTAGTGAGAATCTGTTTTCATATTAGATTCGATTCATTCACCCACATTTTGTAGGTAACAATTTCTAAACATCTGGCGAGATAAGAGCAAAATAAATTTAAAAAATAAAATAAAGTAACAGATTTTGTAAGCCGGTATTAGCCTGTTTTTGTTTACCTTAGTGTCTAGTCTACGCACTGTCTAGTTGTATGCAGAGAAATCATTTTTAGTCAGTGCCATATCAATGGGAATAATAATAAATAAATAAATATAAAAATTTAATTTCAACTACTTTCCAGTCATAAAAAATCACTTGATAACTGAAAATATGAATGTGAATTGTGAGGATTTCAAATATTCACAAATCTTGAAATTTAATTTTTTGATATTTTTAGGGAAGGACAAATTTAAATTAATGTAAAGTCGAAACAGAAGAAGTGATTATGCTCTCTAGCTAGATTTTTCTTAACGTAACTAAATTTTACTTTTAATACTATGTTTTGTAATTAATTTTTTTTAGGTTTAATTTTTTTTCACGATTAACAGAAGAATAGTCCATTAACATTCCATCATTTTTAACATACACACGCGTACGTGTTTTTGCGTGTGCATGTCACATTGTATACATTTCCAAAAATGATGATATTTGCATCGCTCAAACACGTATGTCACATACATACATAATCCACATGTACAAGAAAAATATCACACACACTCACTACTCGCATACACACGCGCACACGCATTCTCGCTCTCACACACACGTACACATACAACATGATGCACTTTTTCCAACAAAATGACTGCCTCCTCTTTCTGTGAAAAAGATGAATCCTTTTCTGAAAACAGTTTTATTATTCTTTTACTATTGAAGACGACAGAGTTTCTTTAAATATTTCCTGTTGAAATGGAAAGGATATTTTAAGTTACCATCAAAATAACTCTTTTAAAAGAATTTAAAATTTATTAAAAAGTTTTTTTTTAAGAATTTAAAAGAGAACACTATACTAAGAAAATGAATAACATCCAACGTAAGCTGTATCTATTCATTGTTATTGCAAATAATGTGTATGTACATGTGTAAGTGTACTCAATACACATCTTCACTACTATTTATTACAACTACTACTACTACAACTACACACATATATATATAATTAGAAACACATACACACAAGACAAACATAAATGTACCAGACAAATAAATACAGACACATATACACATAGACACACGTTTTCAACACTAGAGATGTAGACTAGAGACACATACATACTCTCGACACACGCAACAACCACGTAGGATGATATCGAAATCAAAGCAATTTTTAAATCTGATGTTCTGTTTTAATTTTTACTGGTTTAATTACGAATAAGGATATTTGATTCCTTTTTATTTTTTTTCATTCTTTCCTTTTTACCTGAGATAACGCGACAAGATTTTTTTTCATAAAGAAATACGCAAATGCACAGACAATAATTACGAAGAAGAGAGACTGAATTGTGAATTCGAATGGTACTGGACAAAATCAGAATTCTTTGTTGTCATAACAATAAATCGTTATTTTTACGAACAGATGATTTTGCCTTTTGCGCCATAGTCCATTGATTCATTAACAAATAACAGTCAAGCAAGACTTCACTTTAACAAACACACTGTCTATCCGTTTTTGTTTTTTTTTGTTTTTTTGTCACTTTGTATAGTTGGAAAAATGATTTCTTTTAAATTCCTATAGGTAAAATAAAATAATTTGTGACTATTCTTCTGTTAATAAGGTAAAATGTAGATGAGTTGGAGCATCTTTGAAAAGAAAACGTGTTTTTAGTTTACAGTTTGTTGTATATTTGGTAGTGTTCATCATGAGTTAGAAAAAGGGAAATTTGTCTGTCAAACTCAGAATAAAAACTCATCTCTTTTTTATTTTTAACTTTATTCTGGGTATTTATGAAAATGAAAATTCACCAAATAAACACAACGTATGTATGTGTGTGTGTGTGTGCAGCACGCGATATTTATGAGTAAAAACTACGTGTACCTGTGGATATGCGTTTGTGTAGTCATTTATGATGGATGAGGAAGAAATGGAATGTAATGAGGTTAATGTCATCTGGTCATAAGATCGAACTCGAGTAGAAGCCAATTTGAATTAACTTTTTAAAAAAAAAATATATTTTATTTATTTTCACATTTTCGTCAAATAAATCAGCGATGGCGACGTTTTCTCTCTTCTTGCACAGTCATTTTTGTGCTTTAGGTAAGTTGGTAAGATATAGGGATTTATTAATAATACACAATTATAGATAGATAGATAGATAGATAGATAGATAGATAGATAGATAGATAGATAAAGAACCCGAGATAGATAGATAGATAGATAGATAGATAGATAGATAGATAGATAGATAGATAGATAGATAGATAAAGAACCCGAGATAGATAGATAGATAAAGAACACGAGATAGATAGATAAAAACCTTAATCTCTTAAAAAACAAAAAAAAGTAAGAATAAATTAATTCAAGACTTCTGTTGAAATTAATTTTTTTATTTCATTAATTAATTTAACCATTAATCCTCTTTGGATCCGGGATTGGGACCGTGGCTGAAATTAAAATTAAATAAATGTGCAAAATAAATTAAGGTACTTACCGTGGTGCTTCTTTAATGAGAAGTTTGACAGCTTGTAGGCATCCGCCAACCACAGCAAAATGCAAAGGAAGAGCTCCACTGGTACTCCGTTTCATGATGTCGCAACATGTCTCCTCCAACAACCAGTTGAGGACATAACTGTGACCATACTTGGCAGCTAGGTGGACAGCGGTCAGTCCGAAGTCGTCCTCTTCGTCCACCTGGGCTCCAGCCTCTCCTAGTAGCCATCTGAGGGTATGTAAGGAACCGCTGGCTGCCGCATCATGTAAGGGAGTGGCCCCTACGCAGGTCCTCTTGCTGGCGCTCAGCCCCAGACGACAGACGAGGAGTTCTAAAACGGCCACGTTATTGCTCCTGGCACCATAATGGACACAGCTAGCACCGTAATCATCGACGACACTGTCATGCAAAGATCGCGCTTTGCCTATGGTCTCCAGAACTTTCAGGTCCCCGCATTTGGCCGCCGTCAGAGCCTTCTGGACCACTTTCGAACTCACAGACACTGAGGGCATCATATAATCATGAAAGAGCGAAAATGGAGCTAGCCTACAAGGGCTGACGGACGACCCCACCTCTTTTTTCCCTTCTTTTTATGCTGTCACTTGACGTTCCCTTTCTAATTGCGATCGAGAAGATTCATTATTCGAGTTAAAATTGTTCTATCTTAAGTTCTTTAAAGTTTTAATAAATTAATATTATCTTTCTCTTTGGAATTTGATTAAAAATTAGTAAAATCTACACTGGTCGCAATGGTCACAAATGGTTTTGTATTTCCCCTCCCTCTCCCAACAATGGCAATATTGAAGTGCTGTTATAAATAAAAAAAAGAACACGTTTGTGCTTCATCTACACTATTTAGTTATTACTGGTAAAAAAAAAAAAATTAAGTACCTGGTGTTTAGATATAGATAGATAAACGGTAATATAAAAAAATCAAACTGAAATTTTAAAAAATGGATTGGACGGATAAAGAGATTTTCTTCGCAAAAAAAGGAATGAAATAAATGATAAAAATCGTTGCTATTAGTATTGTGGTGGAGATTCTTCACTAGTATAGTCAGTGCTGTGTACCTTTTCACGCGAAAATTTTGGAAATAGTTAAAAGAATATCTCAATAAAAATCAATGACTATAATTTTCTTTAGAATTTCTTTCTTTTTTTTCTTTTTTTGTAAGAGGTTAAGGGACCAAAAATATTGAAAAACGATTTCGGATGTCTGAAAAGATCATCAAAAAAACCACAAAAAAAACGAGCAGACGACGAAGAAAGAAGTTCATATAGAGTCGATTGTCTGGTGAAAGAGTCTATTTTGTAATCATATCTCGATTCTATCCATTTTTTTATTTATTTATTTATTTGTTATTATTATTTTTTTTTTTTTTTTTTGCGGATTTGCTTTTAGGAAATAAATTTTCCTAGGCTGTTTTATAGATTTAGTTTAGTTGGTTGGTAAGCAAAACGTCGTCGCTACTCCTTCCTGTTGTGTTTTCCTTGTTGTTTCCATTTACCGTGGAATCAGTTATACAACAAACACTGATGGCTTCTGTCTTTATTTTATTTTTTATCATTCCTTGTCATTTTTCTCTTTTATTTTTAATATGATGCTTTTTCTTTCCTTTTTTACTTCTTCTTATTATTATTCTTGCGATGATGTTGGTTCGCCTGCTTCCTTGCTCTGCTGCTGCTTTCTTGTGCGTAAAACGCAGAGTGGGAGGAAGGGGAGGAGGAGGATGGTGAAGAGAAGGAGAATGTGTGAACATCTTCATCCAAGCACCAAAGTCTGTCCCCCTCTCTCTTCTTCTCATCTTTCTTTCTTTCTTTTTTCTCTTAACACACATACGCGCGTGCGCACACGGTCGCGTTTACACACACACACACACACACACACACACACACACACACACACACACACATGAAGGGGATCCTATTGCTTACAGTTGGAGTTGTTTTCATGGTTCTTTAATGTTCGTATATTGATATTTATTTAGTGCTAGTCATAATTATTGTAGTAGCAATGGTACTAGTAGTGGCAGTATCAGTAGTAGATTTGATTGATTTAGCATCGTCATTAGTAACCAATAATCATTCATTATTCTTTAAATTTAACTTTTGATGTTCTCGTTTTTTGTGGTTAAATTGTGATTATCAACATTTATTTTCTATTGTTATTTTAGGGATGATTTAATTTATTATTATTATTATTAGCTTTTGAATTTTATTTAAGTACAATCACGTACCGCCGCCAATACATGACCCGGGTTAAGGCAAGGTAGTCTGATGTTAAGTGATACTTTAACTTGTTGTGCATTGTACAGTACAGACACTGTACAGTATCATGTACAGTACACCATAGTGTTTATATTTTCTTTACATTCAACAATATTCTCTTGGGAAAATGAGCAGTTCCGCACATACAGCTTTAAATCTCTTGTAAAAAAAAAAAAAAAAAAAAACAGGAGCTAGCGAATTTTGTTCATGTTCTTGTTTGTACCTTTTTTCCGCCGTTTAAAACAGTAGTTCTGTTAAATTTAAGAATAAGGTGCTGCATTTTTTCAATTTTAACTTCAAATTTCTTTAGTCATATTCTTTACTTTATTTTTATCTTATGGGAAGTTATTAGACTTTAATCACAATGACTGGTCTGTTAGTAGATTATTATTATTATTATTATTATTATTATTATTATTATTTTGCTATGGACACACTACACCAAGTCTGGAAAGACCTAAAGCAGGTCGTGGGTGTTGTTATTATTTCATTTCATGTTTTTTTTTTTTTTTTTTTTTTATCTCCGATGGTTGCTAAAATAGACAAAAGTGTGTGTGCTGTACTTAATAAGACAATTTTCTGTAAAAAAAAATAAAAAAATTAAAAATTTTTTTCTATTTCAATTTCCAGGTCTTTGTATTTTGATAGTTTTTTCAAATTTTGTTACAATCCGCTGGACAAGCCATATCAATTAGTAGGCAAGTTTTTTCTTTCTGGTTTTTGACAATTATTTGCTTCAATTTTTCTGTCTGTGGATTATAATCCCATAGAATGGTGACATCTTCTATTTCTGTAACCGGCGCTGGCCGATGTTCATACAGTGTTTGCTTACATTTTCCAAAGTGTTTGCACATTGTCCAGTTAAATTATCGTGACGATTTTTTATATTAAGGTATAGAACATCCTGAGATTAGATGGTCTATTGTTTCTTGGTATTTGTCACAGAACCTGCATTTTGGATCCACATTTATGTATGATATTTGCCTGAAAATTCCTAGTGAAAAAGACTCTGGTCTTTGCAAGAATTCAGTTTCAGACTTTAATCCAGATGCTCGTAACCATCGATGAGTATTAACTTTATCAACATTGGGTTTATTTGCACGTTCTGGATATTGGCCATGCAGAGGTTTGTCTTGCCAGCGTTGTTTCATCTGTTCAAGGGCTTTATCCTTGGCTTTCTTTTTCATATCTTTTTGCAATAGTTGGTTCTTGGCTTCTGTTTTGATTTACTGGGAATCTACTAAATGTAAATGTTGTTTTATTTACTGCCTTCTTTTATTATTGAATATTTTTTCTTTCTGTTTTCATGTTGTTTCACTAATTTTATCATCAGTCATTAAAGTTAGTAAGCCAATAGTTGTTGTCTTGTATGACAATTCTAGCTGAATAAGACCTCTTCCACCTTCTTTGTTACGGTCTACATCAGCCTTTGGATTATACTATTATTATTATTATTATTATTATTATTATTATTATTATTATTATTATTATTATTATTCATTTTTCTCACCAGTAGTTTCTGGTGGATTTCACTGGAGATCAAATAGCTGCAAATCTCAGTACTCCAGAACTTTCCTCAGTATTCTAATTTATACAATTTAATAAAAATTGAAACGATAATATTAAAATGAGAAAAATAATTGGAATTGTGTAAAAAGTAATATAGAAATTGTTTTAATAGAAAAAAATAATATTCAAATTGTATCAAAAACTAATAAAATATTGGAATATGTAAAAATTAACAGAAAAATTATCTTTAATAAAACATAATGCTGATTTATATGAAATACTGAATTATATGAAAAACTAATTTAAAAAGTTACAATGTTACTAACACGGTTTCTTTTTCAAAGAACCCGCCAAGGAAAATAAAATATAAAGGAAAAAAAGCATGAATAAAAACTGACGTGTAAAGGTGGTTCTAAATTGACGTTATAAAAATCCGCCAAAATGAAGTTATAGACTGTATATAAATTTCGCCAAAATTAAGCCAGGTAGTTTTGTGGCGGAATTCCAAACGAACGTCGGAGTTATCAATGAGATGTAGCGTGTCTAGGCCTCTCACCACATTTATTTAATTTTTGTTTAGGAACCCAAATAAGAACAAGGCAAAGTTATCAATATATATATAAATTGTATTCAACAAAGCGTACAATAAAGAATATATACGAAAAAGAAGCATGCAATGAGCCAGACGAGAGAAAAGGGACAGGAAAGAAGAATCTTCTAAATTTGATATGCAAATGTTTTTTTTAAACTCATGAGTTTTACCTCATGTAAGAACGTCTTTTCTAAACGTGTGAGTGTTCATCTCATTCAAATGTCCTTTCTAAACCTGTAAGAGTATCTCATAATTGAGAAAGCGGGTTCCGAAACCCCTAATATTTTGTCTAAAGGTCCCAGAGAACCAGCTTCATCCAATGTAGACCACCTTTTCACACCCCCACTTTAACCTTCGATATTTTGAATTAAGAACTTTTTGAAGTAAGTAGATTTATTTTGTTGATAAGAAAGTGATTTATATGAATTGTTGTCCAAAAAGAATGTTGTTAAAATTCTTTTGTTGTCAAGGTGAAAGATTGTTTTTCATGAACTGTTATTTTCTAAGAGAAAACAAAAATTGTATTGCAAATAACTATTAATCTGCCTTAATGTTATAATACACACAAGGAAAATTTTTTGCAAGGCCTATATTTTATTTTGTACAATTAGTATATTGTAAAAATATGGTTGTAATTGTAATAAATGTATATTTCTTTACAAATTTAATTTTGATTAAGAATCTTATGTTTTTCGTAAGTGCCTCTAAATAAGCGCTTAAAAATACATAATTGTTTCAGTTCTTTAGAGTAGTACTTTATTCTTTTCTTTTTTTTTTTAATTTTAATCCAAGGTCTGCTGGGACAGCTAAATTCACTATCTGGCATTTTTTTCTCTACTTATTCGCAATAATTGGATCTGGTCTTTTTGCTTGAATTAGGTGATACGTTTTAATCTCAGTGTCTTAAAGGACCTTGCTTTTTTATTGTCTAAGAAGAGGTTATGTTTTATAAATATACCATTAGTTTTTAATTTTCAAGCCAAAGATAGTAATAGTCACCATGACGGATCAAAGAATACAAACAATAGGTTTCCTGAATGTAATATTTCAGCTTTCTCCTCATAATTTTTGTTGATTTTAATAATCTTATTATTGACTTGTTATGTTGTGCTTTTTCATGATCAAAACAAATATCGGGTGTTTATCTCTAGAATTTGAGTGATAACAAGTCTCCCCGAATCTTCAGCATATTCCTAAGTATTCTTATAGAACCTAGTCTTAATCCTTTTTCAAATGATTTTTGTATTTTGATAGGTTTTTTTTTTTTCAAGAACTTCAAGGCTACATGACAGTCTGCAAGAACTGCCATGTCAATAAAAAAGGACATTCTGTTTTAGCTTTGATTATTCTCTTTGTGTGTATTATAAAGTCCCATAAAATTGAGTCCTGTGTATGACGATAAACTTCATCCGGCAGCATGGCATCTGATCATGAGATTGGAGGTTTTGAAGAGCGTCGTACCACTTCTTAATTGTTGTTGTTCCCTGGTCCTCCCTGACCTGGGGTAGTTGCACCTGTTAGGGTCCCTGCTCTGGGCAAATAGTGAAACTCCCCAAACAAAAACAAAAGACTATGAAAGTATAAAAATACACTTTTATAGTAAAAATACCAACAATACATTTTTATATAAAAAATTACCAACAATACATTTTATCTGTAGGTGAAGGCATACAATTGCGTTTAAAATATATATTTAGTTGAAGCCATAAAATTATGTTCAAAATATTTTGAATTCGGCATTAAACAACCTATAGAATTTGATATGCTGCTAAACAAAATCAACTAACCAACAAATCCATAAAAAAAATAAAATTTCCTATGTTTATGTGGTGCTCATACCAATTGTAGTTTCCTTCCCCAAAATTTGAAGATTTTCCATTGCTGATATTAGAAAAGGCTGGAAGAATTGGAAATTATTGAATGAGTCGGGGCTATCTAGACGAGTGTTAGATTACTATAATAAGTTCTGGAGTGTTGAAGATATTTTGTTGTCATTTAATTTGTAGTGTTAGTCACCAGTTACCTTTTTTTTTAATGCCATGACCATTCAAGACATAGATGATCTTCACAAATGTTCTTATTTTATTATCTGTGAATTACCATGACATCTTCAGAAAGAAAGTGAAGTGGTTTTCTCTACAGTTTTGAATTCAGAATAAATCACATAGACTGATTGCCCCCCAAAGCTAGAAAGCCCAGACTGATTAGCTATTTAGCCCACAGCTGGGGAATGAAGAGATGGATTTATGCCTTTCCTAGATGTATTAGTGTAAAAGGGATTAGTGTGAAAAATCAATGATTAAATAATAACAATTGCGTTACTTGGCACTACAAATATTCTACGAAAGATGCTAAGTTGATACGATTTGATGGAGCACATCTATGATTAAAGATCACTGGTTAAAAACGAAAAACCGTGAGGAGGAGAGAGGAAAATAGGTTGCCCAGAAGATCGCCCTACTAGGAATATCACATAAACTAATAAAAGTGCTATCGATTAAATGACAATTCTTCTATAGGGCATGAGGACCATAGTTTAGACCCGGCTCTATAGGATACAAAGCAGGAAACATAACATACACAGATAATAATAATAATAATAATAATAATAATAATAATTGGCTTAACAGGTACGTTTCCAGTGCTCCAATAATGACTGGCACGAGTGTCACTTCAATTTTCCACAACTTCTTTTACTCTGCCGGAACAGAATTATTATTATTATTATTATTATTATTATTATTATTATTATTATTATTATCTGCTATGTTCAACAGTAATTTAACGATGCGTAACGAGTCTAAATAAATTACTAAAGGACATGTCATTTCTTCACCACATCAACAAAATCTTTTTCAGAATTTTGGCTGTCCCAAGCAGCACTGTTCTTTGAATCCCAGTCCCAATTTTAACTAGCCATTTTTGGATTTGCCTGTCACTATTCCAATTGCTCTCACAGCAACAAGAACAACTTAAGCCGCACAAGCGTCTACTCTCAGGTTTCAATTTTTGGTAATTTTCCTCCTACTCCTTTTTTTTTAATTACCCCTACGTCCCCTGACACAGTTGTATCGATAATCCAACAGTGTCTTCCTTCTGGATAGTAATGAAGTCTGTCCTTCTTGCTTCAATTACATTATCACATTGCACAGTGAAGTCCTAAAGTAGCTTTCCAGTCGCATTTTCCACTATTGTAAGTGGTTTATGCTGATATTACTTTTCTGTTCTCTCCACTTTTGATTTACCCCATTACATCTAGTGTACAATACATGCAATATTGTGGTGGCGCCGTTTGTACTCTCGTTGCGCTAACATGCTGAGTTTCCTCTGCTTTTCCAAATATTCTACACATCGCAGGATCCACAATATTGTCAATATAAAATCTGACATAATTTCGTTCTCAGAGCGTGTACTTGTGCAGCAAGATTCTGTTTCTGTCTTCAAGTCTCCTTTCATACACCATAACCATGTTTCTTTTCCTTCCTTCAAGATTCCTTTCTTCCTCTGTGTCCATATTTTTATTGCTTTCTACACATCTCCTTTCTTCCTCCATGCCCATGTTTTTCTTTCATCCTTCAAGTGTCCTTTCTTCCTCCTTTCCCAATTTTTTTTCCTTCCATCAAGTCTCCTTTCTTCCTCTATGTTCATATTTCTCTTCATTCTTTACAGTCTCCTTTCTTCCGCCATGCCTAAATTTTTATTCCTTCCTTCAAGTCATCTTTCTTCCTCCATGCCCATGTTTCTCTTCCCTCTTTCAAGTCTCCTTTCTTCATCCATGCCCATATTTCTATTCCTTCTCCTTTCTTCCTCCATGTTTCGCTTCCTTCCTTCGTCTCCTTTCTTCATCCATGTCCATATTTCTATTCCTTCCTTCTCCTTTCTTCCTCCATGTCCATGTTTCACTTCCTTCATTCAAGTCTCCTTTTTGGCTCCATACCCTTGTTTTCATTTTATCAATTTTCCCATTACGCTCTTTTTGCATATCTATAATTACTTTCTCCTTCCAAACTCCTGTGTTACTTTCTAAATTTAACTCTTCTTTACTTGATACAAGCGACTGTTTCCCATTATCTGTTCATCCTGTTCAAAATGCGCATTTGAGGTCTCCTCTTGGGTGAAAGCTGGCATCGAGGTTTTCATAACAGCAAGGAAATACCAAGTTAAACCTGCATGCTCGACTGCTATAATCCACTGGAATCACTTCCTCCGTCTGTATCAGAGCGACACGTCTGATTGCAACAGACGACTCTTTGTCTCTGCTCGTAACGAGTGCAAACGTGTGCTAAATGAAGCGAAGTTACTGCTTGCTGATAGAATGAAACATCGTATAGCATATTGCAAGTTTAGATTATTGGCGGCTCTGTAAGAGTGTGTTGACCAACAGCAAATCCTCAATCCCTCCTCTATTTAATCCACATGAAGTCTTGACGACCACAGCAGATAAGGTGGAATGCTTTGCTCCGAAATTCTCTTCCAACTCAACACTTAACTCATCGGGAGTACTCACACCTGATTTCCCCACTAGAACTGAGGCTATGATATGCGCATAACCCCGTTACTGGTCTCGGACATCATTTCTAAATTAAACTCGCAGAGGTAACGGGATACCAGCCGTCGTCCTAAAGAAATGTGCTCCAGAACTGGCCCCAGTTTTCTCCAAACTCTACAGCTATTGCCTCGCTGCTTCCTGCTTTCCAACTTGTTGGAAGTCCTCCTCTGTAGTCCCTGTTTTAAGAACTCTGGAGAACCTTTTGACTCTTCTATCGCCCTATTAGTCTCTTACCGATTTTCGGTAAAGTATTTGAGGTTTTAATCAATGCTGAAGTGGTTAAGCATCTTATCTCTCATGACCTACTCTCTGACAAAAAATATGGATTCCGTTTTGCCCGGTCTACTGCTGATCTGCTTACGGCCATCACTGAATATGCATATCAAGCTCTTGATAATAACGGTGAAGCGCGTGCTGTGGCTCTAGATATCTCAAAGGCATTTGACAGGGTTTGGTATGCTGGTCTTCTACGTAAGCTTCAGGGCTACATTATTACAGGACGATTGTTTGATTTAATCCAATCATTCCTATAAAATCGTGAAGGTCGTCTTGAAAGGGCACGCTTTCAGATTCTTTCACACGAACACGGGTGCCCCCCCCCCAAAGCTCTATACTGAGTCCTACACTGTTACTGATCTTCATCAACGATCTTCCTGGTGTCATCAGTTTCCAAGTAGGCATTTATGCAGATGACACTACCATTTACTCCAAGAGAGCGTCTCACTACGCCTTCTTGGCCTCACGTTTTCATTTGACTTGATGTAGAACAACTATATTGAATCAATAGCTGCATTTACTGCAAGGAAAGTTGGTTCACTGTTTCGTGCCAGAAGTTTTTTCTCGTCAGAGTCCATCTTTCACATTTACAAATCTACCATTCGCCCGTACATTGAATACTACTGCCATATCTGGTCTGGTGCACCTGCTATTCCTCTTGTGGTTCTTGACAAAATCCAAAGAACGATCTGCAATGTAATCGATCTTGACTTGGAATCTCGACTTCAGTCACTTTCTCAAAGATGTGATGTGGCTTCCCTCTGTCTTTTCTAGAAATATTTTCATGACAACTGCTCCGAAGAGCTTTTTTCCCTGGTTCCCGACTACATGAATTTAAGCGTGATACAAGATTGGCATCTATGTCCCACCCTTTTACTGTTGAAATAGTTAAATGTAACTGCCACTTCTACTCCAAGAGTTTCTTTTCTCGCACTTCCCGACAGTAGAACTCCCTTCCGCTTACTTGCTTCCCTGATAACTACAATCTTCAAAAATTTAAATGCAACATCAACCGCCATCTTCTGTTGACTTGAACCCTGTTCATCTTTTACCTTTTCCTCACTATTTTATCTCACTTTCACTCTCTGTAACCCCCTGCGTACTAGTTGTACTCTCGCCTTGCTTGGAGTGAAATGATTAAAAAAACTTTACACCGAGTAGGAATGATTCACTGCTGTTCCTCAGGGACCTTTCTAAACTGTTCTCTTCACTCAAAATAGTAGTCTTCATTATTTGCATGCGGACTATTGGTCACGTTTTTGTTGCTATTATCACAAAGTTTCAACCTTTGGGCTTTCCAATCTTCATTGAGTGCACGTTGATCTGGGAAATCTTCAGGATATTTCGAACTGAACCTTTTATTTAAACTATAGGAGAGAGATTGTTCTCGTCCGTGTACGATGTTTAAGGATATCTCATCCAGTTCTTATTTATTACTGTTCAGTTATTGTTCGCCCTATTTCCACTGACTCGGTACTATCCAGTTCAGGAATTTACATTACAATTATTACGTCACAAAATTTACGAACCAACGCGTTAATCCACAAGGCTATTGTCCCACAAGACAAGTAGTGCAGACTCTGATTACCTGGTCCAGGTTGTTCAGACTCAATAGAAACAGTATTTTATTGATAAGAATAAAGACTTATAGTATGAAATTTTGTTTTAAAAATAAATTCTTACAATTTCTCTGAAAGTAAATTTTTAATTATACACTTTTAAAAATATATTTGTTAAAAAATAACATTCAAAACATTACGGCATAGATTTTAGAAGCTTCTCTTTGTCATTTTGTTACATGAATTTTATGGATGTGTTCTTTTTCTTTAGAAGTAAAAAAAATAGAAGTACATTTAATAGTTAAAACGTTTTATTTTTAATGTTCGTATTTTTAAAAATAAAAGATAGAAAGAATTAAAAAAATATTGATCATTTGGACAAATGAACAATGAATTGACTATTATTTTTTTTTTTATTTACGCATTACGCCCCGAGCAAGGCGTGAAGCCACTAGGATGCAGGGGGTTGGGGAAGATTTGGAGCGAGAACAGATAGGAGTGATAGAAGAAAGGATGAGGAGAAGGATAGTGGATAGATCAAGGTAACTGGAGGTGTCGATTGACATTACATTTGAATAGTTGGAGATTATAGCTTTCAGGGAAACAGTAATTGGGAAGGGTGTTCCACAGGCGAGAGGTGCGAGATATGAAGCTATTGGAGTAGAAGAGACGGCTACATTTAAAAATTTCTATAGTGTAAGGGTGGGAGCGCGATGCCAGCCTCGTAGGGCGCTTGAATTCATGGAGTCTGGGAACCAGTGAAAACAGCTCATCGGAGCAATTACCATGAACGTATTTGTAGAAAAGACAGAGAGAGGCGACGGGGCGTCTGTGAGAGAGCGACTGCAGACGAGACGCCAGATCAGGGCCAATTAGATTACATATCCGTCTCTGGATCTTGTCAAGAACTCCGAGGTAAGTAGAAGGTGCTCCGGCCCATATATGGCAGCAAAACTCCATGCAAGGGCGAATGGTTGATTTGTATATTTAAAGTATCGATTCAGGGGAGAAAAATTTCCTGGCACGGCACAGAGAGCCAACTTTCCTTGCGGTGGAAGAAGCAATTGACTCAATGTATTTGTTCCATCTCAGGTCAGCAGTCAACGTGAGACCGAGCAGACGCAGGGAGTTGCTCTCAGGAAGTTGACTATCAGACATTTTAATGGGGAGCAGGGAAGGATTTCTATGGTGGTTAATGGAGAGTAGTTTAGTTTTTGAGGCGTTAAAGTTGACCAGCCAATTCTTGCCCCAGTTAACAACTGATTGGAGGTCCATTTCAAGACGCACGGCCAGGTTAGTTTTGTCGCCGACACTAGATTTGTTTTTGAGGCAGGAGTAAATTGTAGTGTCGTCCGCGTAGATGCCAACTTGGGAATCTATGGCGTCAGGAAGGTCATTGATGAAAATAAGGAAAAGAGTGGGACCAAGGATGGAGTCTTGGGGAACACCTGCGTTCGTGGGATAGGAACTGGAGGAGAATCCGTTGAGAATGACCTTCAATTCTCGGTTTGACAGGAATGATTGTATTAGATCAAACAATCGACCAGTAATACCATAACCCTGGAGGTTATGAAGAAGGCCAGCATGTCAAACCCTATCAAACACTTTGGAGATGTCTAGGGCCACAGCACGAGCTTCCCCGTTATTTTGAAGAGCTTGGTAGACAGTTTCAGTGATGACCGTAAGCACATCAGCTGTAGATTGGGTGTAGCGGAAACCATATTGCTTGTCTGAGAGCAGATTTGGGATGTAAGGTGGTTAACCACTTCGGCATTGATTAGGGCTTCGAAGACTTTGCCGAAGAGGGGTAGGAGACTAATAGGACGGTAATTAGAGGGGTCAGAGGGGTCTCCAGAGTTTTTAAAGACAAGAACAATGGATGAGGACTTCCAGCAGTCAGGAAAACAGGATTCCTTGAGGCAGTAATTATACAGTTTAGAGAGGGCGGGCGCTAGCGCAGGCGCGCATTTCTTCAAGACAATAGCTGGTATGCCATCTCCACCACTAGCTTTGTGGGGGTCTAAATTGGAGATAATGCCCAGTACCAATGACGGGGTTATGTGTAAGCCGCTCAATATGGCCTCAATTCTTGGAGGGAAGTCTGGTATGGGTACACCGGTGGAGTCGAGCGTTGAATTAAATGAGAATTTCCGAGCAAAGCATTCAGCCTTGTCGGTAGAGGAGGTCAAGACCTCGAACTGGTTGAATAAAGGAGGTATTGGACAGGGAGTGTAAAGACAACATCCCAGGGGACATCGCGGAGGAAGTCACGGAACGAGTCCCAATCCGCTCGTTGATAGTAGAACGAGGTTCTAGTGATGGGACGTTCTTTGCGGGGTGTGGAGTTGAAGGAAATGTTGACAGATACCACGGCATGATCGGAGTTACCAAGAGGGCAGAGCTGTGTGGCGCTACAAGATTCGAGGATGGAGGTAAAACACAAATCGAGAAGGGAGGCCTTACCTGCCAGGTTGAGGTCAAAACACGTGGGGAAGTCAACTATCTGCGTGAGGGATTGAGAAATTAAGTGTTTGAATGCCAGTACGGTCAGTAGTAGCATTCTCGAGCCACTTGGTATGATGGACGTTAAAGTCACCAAACACGATTATGTGAGCAAACGGGTTTAGAGAGAGGGCCTTGTCT